ACTATCCTACCTCAGTGTCAGGACCATCGCCCTACCAGTATCGAGGGCAGTCACCAGACAGCAGTGACAAGCACCCCCTAACACTATAACCCCACCCTTCTTTTCAAAGTTTTTGGGTGGGAAGCACCTTCCCTACCCTGCCACTAACACCCCAGTGTGACCAGGCAACTAGGACGAAGCACCCCCTAACACTACAACCCCTACCCCCCTTTTCAAAGTTTTTGGGTGGGAAGTACCGTCCCTACCTTGCCACTAACACCCCCACCCCCCTCTTCAAAGTTCTTGGGCAGAACGTCAGCGTTTGCAGAAAGCCAGGTACGCTGTTGTCAATGTCTGTTGAACCCCGTGCTGAAACCCCACCACTAACACCCTCACCATAAACCCCCCAACCCCCCAAACGAAACTTCTCTGTTCAAAGTTTTCTTTGCGGATTCGGGGAGATCTCGGTGAGCGCAGTCCAACCATGTTTTCAAAAAAAAAAAAAAAAAAAAAGTTGACCCACTTTTGGACCCAACCGGAATTCCGGTTGGACCACCGGGGGTCCAACCGGCCCGGTTGGATCCGGGACGGTCCAACCGGCCGGTTGCCGGCACAGCCCTGCCACAAACCGTGTCCACATTACTTGAAGGAGCACAGGATTCGCATTAGCAGAAGATATGTTAACAGAAGAAACTTTAGTTGCCAGATATCTTCATACCCAAGCCGGGTAATGACCCCAGCATTCATCTTGTGTTCTCATAGCCGAAGCCGGGTAATGGCACTGGTACTCATTTGTGTATTCAAGGGATGCTGGACCCGTTTTCCAGCAGGTGCAGCTCCCCACCAATAGATGGAGTGTCTGGAGGAGGGTACTACAGGATTCTGCTCTTACCACACCTTGAAGTAGCCCCAGCAGGCTTAAAAAGAGAAAAAAGAAAAAAGAAAAAAAAAAGATTTACTGCTGGATTGTGAGGGTAGCATTCAGTCGAATGAGAATGCACAGTCCTATTGGCCAAGAAGATATCCCCAAGTGTGTTCGAAAAAGTGTAAAACCCCTAAAAGCAAAAAACAAGAGAGGACAAGGTAGCAACAGGATAACTGGGAATGGATATGAGGAAATCCTCC